ATCTGAAGAGAACAGCAGAAAATAGAATAAAGTGGAAATGTGTTACTGAAGCCCTACGTCCAAATTGGGACCCGAGGGAATAATATATATAATTTTTAATTTTGATTATAGCTTGATTCCACACCATATTTTTGGTACAAGTTTGGAATTTTCAGCATTGATATCGCTAGCCCAAATTTTGCAGGGCGACCATTGATATTAGGTGTGAGTCGGCAGGGAAAAGAACCCCAGACCGTATGTATGGCTGGCGAGAGTCCTAACCGCTGTAACACCGACGCACATATATATATATGTAAATAGGAAAACAGAATGAAATCAAGAAGTATTCTGCCTTACTGATGCAACTACATAGCTAAGTATAAATTTAATTTATTTAAGTTTCTAAGGTAAAGGACGAATATGATGATGATAATAAATTAGCTATAAATTTTGAAAAATTCAGCAGTTGCCTACGAATTTCTCAGACATTTTGCCATCGATCATCTCATAGTATAAAACTTAAGAAGGAAAATTTATAGTATGGTTTGAGGGAAGTCAAGACTAGCCTAGTATTTCGCTCTGCTTCATTTACAAATCGTTAGTTTGTATCTAAATTTTGCTGACCGTATAAGAAGTACGCCTATTTTCTATTTTCGAAGCTTGAATATTATTAAGTATGAAAGCTCCGTTACTAATGTGGGTACTTGACTGTTAAATGTTGATGGGTTTTCAAAATACACAAAAAGTCTCATAAAATGTTCCTTGGCTTTCAGCCGTAGTTAATGGTAGCGAAAAATGATCTCAACGTTACTTTTAAAAAGTAGTCAATGTTGACATAAATCTAAACTTTCGACAACAGAATTCTGTGTTATATGCTTGCTCTATGAAATTCACGCCTTCCTAGGCTTTTCCATTTCTTATGTATTGTAGGGTTAAAAAAGAGTCATGTTTCTTCATGACAGACGAATTTTAAACAGTAGATTGGTCACAATATCGGCAATCTCATTTTAAGTTATTTTAGTGTGTAATTATTAACTCTAAATTTCACTTGACCGGGTAAGGACCTGATAACCGAGGTATCCTAACATACTGTGAAGATTCCGACGGCTAATCAAAAGTAGACCTATCCTGTCTGTTCAGTAGTCCTCATTTAGTTGAAGCTTTTGATTCTCTGGCTGTTACTTTCCTACATTTAAGCTGTCCGCTTTTGATATGGGTGCAATAAATTTCCGAAAAATCACCTTATTATACAGTGTGAAATGTGGATTTTGTCATATATGCATATACATACATAAGGTTTTTGTGAATAAGATTAACAATATACTGTTAAATGTTATTTATCAATTTTATATATATCAAATTCAGATCTGTGTAAGATTAATGTTTAGAGAAGATATAAATTGGCTTTTGTTTAATATATTAGGCAGTGTGTTTGATCATTTGGTTGTTTGTACTCTCGTGACTGTTGTGGAAGTCTATCTTATTTAAATTACATTTAATTTCTGAATTCTGACAATAGAAATTTATTTGAATATAAAACAAACTTCGAATGATTGAAGCAGTGTTAACACTATTTCATCCGAATTTGGATTGTAAAGTGATACCGGTTTGAGAACCGTTAAAAACTAGGGTGTACTGGATAGCTGTTCCATCCATGTTTGAATCTCTAACCAGTTTTCTATGGTTCTCTTACTGGTATCACCTCCTGATGTAACTGGAAGTCAGTTATATCACTGAGAAGCAACACTTGAAAATGCCATTTAATTTTTTAACAATCGTTTTTATCCATCTCATATCGTTTGGCTGTATGGTGGTGATTCATGTTCTAGTAAGCTGTAGACACTAATTACGTGTAGTTCACTGAACAGAAGTCTCAGAATGAAGATTATTCCTTCACATAGCACACCGTCTGATTTACAAAAGATATTGACATGATTCAATCGATTTATGGTGGGAGCAGCAATATTTTCCCGAATCCTAATAGCGAAAAAGATAAGTAGTAAGAGCAATGCTTTCTGGAATTGCTATTAATTTATTGTTTTTATATCACTGCAGTCCAGTTTTCGTTTCTTGATAAGATACGTTACTCTAATTGAATGAGACCTTAAATTGTAAACTGTTTCGCATATCTGTGCTAATTTTAACAGATGACCCACATGTTCATGCACAAGTACTCTGTAATTCATGGTCTTTGTCGATATAAACTCATCCTTATTTTAAGTTAACTTTTATATTTTGAATGTAATAGGAATCTAACAACAACAAAGTTCATATCTGGATTCTCTAGATAAAAAAGATACAAGAAAATTGAAGCTTCCCGGTGCTTTTTTGGGCAGCACCAAAGGAGATTTCATCACTGTGCTTATTCGTAGTCACAAGACATTCTGTTGTATGTTATTAGATCTAGAAGCATATATATGCCTACGTAAAAACGTGTTCTGTATTGTGATTACCAACACAAGTAAATGTTTTACTTAGTGTTATAAAAAGAAGTCTTTTTGAAAAATGCAACTTATTTTCGTGATACGTTTCAAACTATACTCATGAGCAATTAATGTATTCATCAGGTCAGGTTTGTCTTGAGCCAGAATAGCTCAGTGGTAACTACTCCGACTGTAGCATTAGGTGAAGCGGGTTCGAACAACAGACAGGACACCAGTTCCTTTGACATTTCAGACAAGGGCTGCTGGCAAGTGCCACCATACTCGAAACCCAGCTCTAGGACTTTCTGTTGATTTCCTCTAATCGTATAACATCAGTCAAAAGTACACCCAGCTGAATGACCACATTACAAACTTGACTGAGAGAATTCAGTTAGTTTGAATAACAAGGACCAGAGGTATGATACTAAAGACTCACTAGTGACCAACCAATGTATCTATTATGAATCATTAAATATTCCAACTACTAAAAGAGGAAATATGAGCGAACAGCATTCTTTCAGGTTAGATCTTCCTCAGATTGTCTTCTACAGTAGACACCTTGGCTGGTAGAGCAAATATGTGTTAAGTGTTGTAAATATGTTAGTAATGACACGAGTATTATACATTATTAATTTACGTTGTAACATTACGAACTAAATTTTCCGCGAAGAGATTCTTTTCAACGAATTTATCATCAAGGTGTGAAAATTTAAATACATATGTTTGATTATCAAGAAAATATATCTCACGAAGAAATTTAAACAGAAGGTGTGAATCATTGCAAAGTCATATCAAATAATCCTAGCGTATTCAGGAAACATTGCTTCGTGTAAGCCACAGTGTCTTTAGAGTAAGGTATGAATACCCATAGTAAAGATGAGGATAGTAATAACAAAAATAATGTAAATTGTGACGATATTCGTGAATATAACCATAGTTCAATTTCAAGCTATAAAGCAAGTTATGTAACGTTTGTATTAGGATTATTAGGCATGTGAAACATCACTTATAATAATAGTGATAAGGTACAAGCACTTGACGCAGGTGGCGATTAGAACAATGAAGATAGCATCACAGCGTAAACAATTCAGAATTTTATCAAACCATGGCAAAGAAGTATTTAGATAATCAGAGTTCACAAAAATATAACAAATGCATAAAAAGAGTGAAGAATAATAAAAGGTGAGAAGTTTTAGTTAATCTGTCATATTTGTCTAGGACAAAGATAGAACAAACCCCTTGTGTATCCAAAAACTGAGAATATTCCCCTGAATTCCTTTAGCTTCAACTTGGTAAGAGAAGATTTAGAATACCGTTTGGTGGAGTGCGACAGAAAATTTTGAGGGCACTTGCTGCTATCCACTTAGGGAGTACTATGAGACGAAATAAAGCTTCTTATAGATTCCGTAGAAGAAGGTGCTCAATAATGCGTTTGTTGAGCTACCTATGTGTCGGCCCCATACAGATAAATTTGTAAATGTAGTTAGCTTATTTTTCACATCACCAATGCCAACTGCTCGGTTGGAAAATTTTAAACAGAGCCTGGCAGAATTATAAGACCTTTTCACAGCTCTACACAATCTTGAGTGTTGCAAATTGCAGCGACGTCCTCATTGGATTGGACCTTCAGAAACAACTCTTAGTAATCGTGGTCGATTTAACCTTACTGCACACAGTGCTCAATGTCTCCTTATATATCTATTAGGAAAACCCATTCTGGATGTATCATAATTCATTTTCAAAGGAATCATTGGCAAGCATCCTTCTTGATCTATTCATGAGGAATCTCACCAAAGTGGTTTTGTTGCAGATAGGCACGAAACTGAAGAAATGACAATATCGTCCTACAAACATATTTTTCTATAAACATCTTTCTTGAGTGAACTGTTTGCTTTTCTGTCCAACTGAACATCAAGAAAGTGTAATTTACCACCCGTTCTTCTTTACAAGTGAAAATGAGTAATTGATGCACATTAGTAAATTTCAGAAACACTCCGTTCTTATCTGCTTTCTTACTCAGAATAATAAACGTCGCATCAATATGACGATAATAATAGTCTACTTTGTCTATTATTACTTCTCAAAAATTAGGCCAAATGCAGAACCTATGGCAATACCACCGATTTGTTTGTATTCTATGTTATCAAATATGAAGTATGAACTTATAATGCATCTCATAAGTAGCTCTTAGACACATTAGTCTCCTTTTCTGATGTTGGTATTTTGATTCTCCTGTCTCAGGTAGTGGTAAATTAGTGAATGGGGATATCAACATCTAAGGATAACATCTGCTCCCCACTTACATTGAAATCAGCTAGGTTAGAAATGAATTCATGTACTAAGATTCACTTTTTCTTTGTGCAATGTTTGCAAGACTCCAGCTAGCTACTTTCCTTACATTTCAAAAAATCTGGTAGTATATCTAAGTAACAATTCAGCTTGCAGTATTGTTTTGTTCTAAATTTTACTATGGAAGTATTTAATATTTTGAATTCAGTCATAATGAAAATTAAAAATCAAAGGTCTATCCGCATTATGATTAAGTGCAGAGGCATTTTTAATTTACTAATCAATCTTACTTATTTATTTTTATTATAGGTCGCTCTAGGCAGCATGTTATTTGAATTCAACATTTCACATCACAATATATCAAAACTTTTTCACATGTTTCCTTGTGAACACTCTCAGGTTAATTTAGCAGATCATAGATATAACAGTGTCTACTTTGTTGGGGAAAGTGAAGAAGTTTCACTTTCTAGTAAAGGCTGCATTACTGTGAAAGTAAGTCCATTTAATTGAATGCGTTTCTATTAATATTCCCCATCTTTGTTAATGAATGAATAATTCAGGCGCTACGTGCTTGAACTACTGAAGTGTGCTTGTGGCCTGGCTAAGTCAATTAGCATTCAAACTCTCGGAAGAGAACTATAATGGAATTGGTAATACTGGAAAGAAAACAGTCGTCCTATGTAAACATAAAATTATCATTAGATCAGCTGACATCATCTAGCAGTGGTATGGATAAACATATCGTTTTCCTTTTTTCTCGGAAGTATAGAAAGAAATAATAGGTGAAACAATTATTTCACCTTATAGCCGTCAACCTTAATTCTTGGTGCAAACGATAGTATAAATGCTTACCTGTTCCTCCCCGAACTGTATCACTAATCTGATTCTAATGTCTGCTTGTTTTGTTAATTTTGTTTTTATATCATTACCGCAGATATTCTTTATGGCCTATAAACGATATCCGGTCTTATGGTAATTAGTGTCATTGCTATCTATTGTTATCGTAACACAGTCTATCCTGACAGTCTGTTTCTTTAGAATTATATCCACCTTTGAGAACTAATGTGGACTTGAAAGACGGGTTGGGAGGCTGTGCAATGAAATGATTCATCTAGACAGTTTTAATTGTCTTAACCTTATCCTCATGACAAATTAGAGTAGATATTAATGCTGAATAATAAATTATTTGACAGTGTTTTCCTCTTTTTTTGCTTTGTACAACTACAGGTTTGTTTGTTACCATATACCATCTCATGGGATCGTGAAGAAATAGCGAATTGTAAATATCAATTTACAAACAAACTACAAATGGAATCAAAACATTTGAATAACACTATAACCAATAACATATCATTTGTGTATAAAGATATTTGGCCTGTAAGTCATTTTTTTAATATCTTACTTTATGACTCTTTAGTTTAACTTATTTAACCTAAAACAGTCTAAAAATGTTATACCAGAGGTAATTTTTATTGTGCGAAGGATTGTACTGAAAGAATGTGTTTTAGTCGGATGTGTTGCCAATATACTTGATGATTAGTAAAAGGTATTTGGTAAGCAGGTCTGCAAGTTCAGTGTTTAACGAGGAAAAATTAATCCCCTTAGTATTTGTCAGCGCTGAGAGGTTCTTTGTCTTAAGAGGATTCACAATTAAATCATCCCGATCCACATGAGCACAACTTCTGAATGTCAGTCTAGTGCTGAATGAAGGCTAACTTAGTTCTGCATTTTTTGGAGTTCGAATTAGTTGTGACAGGTGTAGTCGGACTGTGAAAAAAATCAGTCACTGATGACTTGAAATGTTGGTGAAGCTGCGAAGCCTATATTCAAAAGTTTGACTTTATGAGCAGATGATTTCCAGGCAAGCTGATGAATAGTTAAGGTGCTAGTATCGTAGACTAAGGTTATAGATTCCATGTCATAGTCGTATAATAATAAAAATCTACTTTATTCCAAAAAACAGTACTTATAATGCAGAATGGAATTCTCAGGATTTGTCCCAATATTGCATCTGATTTACTTAAAATATGAATAAAATTAAAAGTTAAAACAAAATTAACCAGAATAGTTTTTCCACGTTTACGATATAAAGTCAAAAGTATTCGAAACACTAATTGAGAGTATTAAATATAATAATAATTATAATAATAATAATAATAACAGTGAGTTTGTTTCAAACAGTATTGTCGATTCAGTTTGGAAATTTCAGTATGTTATAGATTATTCGATCAAATGTTCTGTTGATATAGTATGGTGAGGGGAAATACAAAATTAACAGTTACAACACAGCTTAAATTATGTTCACACTTATGAAAAAAGTAAAGAAAAACAAGAACTTGAGAGGATTCTAAATATAAGAAATACAATAACAATAAAGTTTGATGTTGTAAGGGTGGAGGAAATGGTTTATTTAATAGTGCAAAGAAGGTTAGTTAGTTCATACCATACGCTATTTTCATCACATAAAGTACGTGCCAAATATGATATAAATCATGGAAAATTCCCATTGTAACATATAGAAAATCAAAACAAATGATTCAGCGAAGAAACTTTTCAACGAATTTATCATCAAGCTGTACAATCGTATATATATGGCTTTTAAGAAGTTATATCCGGTGAGGGAATTGAAACATAGGTGTGAATGTATAAAATAATAATAATATGAAATGCAATTAAAACTAAAATGTTTGTGATTATAATCGTAGTTAAATGTCAAGTGGCAAAGCAAATTAATGTCATATATAGAATAATCCATAGAATGGATAGAACTTGAAAAAGGTGTGCAATTATAAGATTAGTAGACAAATCGAATAAAATAAAAACGTTACGTAATATTGTGTGAAATTTAATAGCATAGAATTTAATGTTGTAAAAAAGAATTGATTTAGAATGACAAGTGGAACAAGTGAGATAATACCGGGGACAATTAAAAGTGAGAGTAGTAATAGTAACAATTGACTTAATAAGGAAGAGTATACAAATTGAATAGACAAAAAAATGGTAGAGCTAAAATATGATTGGGGATTACCATACTTTAGCATAGAGGGATTAAGACCATGAAAGTTGGAGGGGTTGAACGAACTTTTTCTGTACACAGAGATCTGGCTTTTCTGTTTCGATAGCCAAAGCTTCAGCAATACAGATGAGTCGGGTACGTAGGGATTTGGGTAAATTACTCTTTGCCTTGTACAGCTTGATGATAAATTCGTTGAAAAGAGTCACTTCGCTGAATCCATTGTTTTGATTTTCTAAATATGATATAGTGGAATTTTTATACTTAGAAGTACGTGCATAAAGTCTATTGAAAAGACTTCTTGTTTTATGTGAGAAGACACAAGGTTGGAGCTGCGGGTAGAGTGGGTGCTCACAGTCTGACAAAATTCCTTTAGCAAATTTGTTGCATGACATCAAGTGCCTGTCAGTGACAATGTCAACGATATAGCCCAATGGGATACCACTCGCCTTACTGATAGTCTTCAGAGTTCTACAAAGTATGATATACTCTTTCTTAAGCAATCCAGGAAAGAATAATGGTGAACAGTTTAGAAGAATAGGTAAAATACACGAGTTGACAAACTGTAAGAGGAGAGGTTGGGTTATGCCTGAGTGCCTTAACTTCTTAATGTAGAAAGTCAGACGAAATATTCTTTTAGAAATCGCCAAGACATGGGAAGACTAGGATAGGTCAGAAGAAAGAATTAATCCACATGACTGATGAGTTTCAAACCGAGAAGAAACATTTTTCCGATTTCTATGTTTTTCCAACTGATGAGCATTCCTTTAAGGCTGATGATCCAACTTGACTATGAAGTGCCTTAAAGCACTAAATCTAGTCTAAACACAATTTTCCGATAATTAGTACTTAACACTTAATGACACCTTTGAAGAAGAGGATATCTACTGCTCTCAGAAGGACATTCTTCGCTGCCATACTACGACTGACATTTCCCTCCCGGCCATTGTTCTTCAACTACTCTAAAGATAAACTATCGCATTTGACCACTTCCATGTGTATCTACCAATTCACCTGCTCTTGCGGAGCGAGGTATATAGGTCGTTCGATACGTGTTTTATCTAAAAGAGTTCAAGAACACTATCCCGCCTGGCTACGGAAAGGTAACAACGGAGCAATAAGGAGCGCCATTATTGAGCATATACTCAACACTGGTCATTCGATTTGCAAGGAGAAGTCGTTCAAAGTCATCTATAAAGTCAAAAGAAGCCTTCCGAAATCGACAAGCTTCCGTACAATTTGTATTGCTGAAGCCTTAGCGATTTGGATGGAAAAGCCTGAGTTATGCACACAGAAGAAACTTCTCCACCCCCTCCTACTACCGTGGGTTTAATTCCAAGTTTACTTGTCATCAACATTTTGTTATCAAATTTTTGCAATTTTCGATTAACAATTTTTAGTAACTAACCCATTCAATCTTTTAACCTATTATCTAGTTTACTTTCATAATTGTCTCCATACTCCTTCACTAACATCTAATCTTTCTAAACATGTCTATATTACGTAACCCTACTCACATCTTACCAATCTTCACCCCACTTAGTTACAACTTTGATTATTAATCACACATTTCAATTTCTTAATTATTTTGATGATGTAACTCTACTCACATCTTACCAATCTTCACCCCACTTAGTTACAACTTTGATTATTAATCACAAATTTTAACTTCTTCATTATCTTGATGATATAATCAACAACCCACACTAACTGTTATTTTGATTTTGACAAACCTAATGTACACACACACACAAAATAATTGTATATATATTTGCGACTGTACAGATAAGTGAATGAATTCGCCTAAAAGAGACTCTTCGCTGAACTAATTTGTTCTTATTTCAATGTCTTAATGGGTATATTTCGCGAATTAATGATATTTATTTACTAATTTCATGGAATCGTACAAAGCTTTGTGTTGCGTAAAAATAACACGGTGATATATTTATTAAAAATTAAGGTGTGAAATAATGTGGGATCCACTTTCAACCGACAGGCAGAAGAGTTTTATTTTCTATTTTTTTGGAAATGAACATTTTTTCGCCTTTGTCATTTCCAATTTCGACTGACATTCAAAAACAAAACTCTCTCAGGAACTTGTGACATTTTTTTACTTGGTAGTGTGATAGTTACAGCGAGAATGACAATTACCTTTCAGTTAATTGTCATGCATATATTTATGCTACTTAATGTTTGAAATATGGAAACACCAAGGATTTTCTCCGCTTTGTTTAAAAGCATACTTAAAGAGTGTCAGAAGAATAGAATTCTAGAATTTTCTCGCATGAACTCACTCGTAAGTTTAAATTGAACTAATTTTTGTATTATATTCAAATACTTGCAACTACTGTTTGACTGTTGATCTATCAATTTTGCAAGCGATACAGTGTAACTAAGTGGTCATTGTACGACAGCTTTAAGATACTGACTCAAGCAAACATGACAGTCAAGTGAATGAGAGATGAAGAGAAAACTCTGTCGAATTTTCACAGTATAAAATTATCCATTTACTCGTAGACAAGAAATGTACAACGTAGGTGATCTCATTTTTGACATTTTATGAAATTCATATACAATAACCTCTGGAAGTCATTCACTGTTAAGTATATGTATGTTATCAACTGCTGGAATGAGTTCTGAATCACTGTAGAAGACTTTAAAACTTTTAATACTTTTTGAATACTTCACAAATATTCACCAAGGAAATTATTACATCTTTACAGATGTGTAGACTGATCCACATAGCAAAGAGTTTATTTCACAAAGCTTCAAAATTCATAAGAAACGATTTCAAAAGGATGGTCATTAAGTTGAAAAAAATATTGATTGTGAACTCAAAGTACTCAGGTACTATGCGATAATGTAGATGAGCAACACTGAAATAATTAGCTGGTGTGTACTTGAAATTTGCTTGGCTCAGAAAAGCGTAAAGGTTTAATCTCTAACTTCGTGATGCTGACTAAGCTAATTAATTTGAATATTACCAACATTCATTTATAACTAAATTTCTGATTAATTTCAATTAATGTCATAATCATTTACTTTTAGGAAAGTTTACTATTGGTTGTACAACTGAAGAATTGTTGCACTTTGCGTACTGAAACAGGCATTTCAGGTAAGCCGCATAAGTTTTAACTCAAGAGATTATTAACAAGGTTTTATAACTTCCTTGTTGTTAGTCTGCATGAATTATAGCTAGAATGACATTCTGGAATCCAAGCTACACAGGCATATTTAAGTGACCTAACCCAAATGAACCTACGGACTTGCCCATGTGGTCAATCTCATGTACTGTAATGATTTTGTGTATATAGTTATTTAACTGTCAGTGTGATACTCTCTAACCGAATGAAAGCCCATCTCATGGTGGATTCATTTTATAAAACGTTTTCTAGCAGTCATTCTAACACCTTTAGACTAAATGCAGTATCATCAGAGTTTGTGACAAGCCTGTTGTGCTTTTATTCCGCAGATCAAAAGTTTTTCCTTGAATAATTTCCTAACGTGAAACTACCAGTGTGTTCGGCTGTAGCAAACACGAACTTCATTTTTTTATTCCTTAACATTCCCAGTGAAACATAGGGCTTCAAGCTAGGGGCTTGAAGTTTCGGTAGCAGTGGTGTTTATTTTTACGGGATGGGTTGCCAGCCTCATGCCCAACCTTTCCTCTTTACCAGCTTTATTTCTGGCTTAGCGAGGTGAAAGAGCGCGTCGGCCGGGGATCGAACCCCGGACCATATGCATGGTCGGCGAGCGTCCTAACGAACTTCATACTATCCGTTTATTACAAATAATAAGTTATTGAATGTTTACTGAAGCTACAATAGATACTGGGGTCTCTGCAAGTTTTCCCTTTCATTCATTATTTATTACATCAATACCGATCTGCAAATCCAAATGTTCTCAGACAACCTCACTAAGAAGTAATTGTTTAATTAGAAATTCGAGTCCATGTCACTACCACATTTGATGTACCAGGTAAAGAGTGGTTGTTGATATTGCGTATCAGTGAGGGTATAACGCGATTTTAAAAAAATCAAAGTCTAATTTCGGACCTAAAATTATTGGCCAAAGTTAGCTATCCTGAATTCTTATTTTCCTCATAATTTTTTAGGTGTGCCAAGTTTCAATGTCTCAGGTGAAGACGAGAATTAATTTCTTTTTATTATTAATGCTAGTATCAACTTTGTCTGTGGAGTTGGAAGCATTCTTGGATCTGATTTGTTTTGATGCTCAGCTTTTAGTAAAACTGTAGTCATTATGCACAAGGCGGCAAGTTCCCTAAAATCGTTGATGTGAACACATTCTTAATTAGCCGTTTGGTCTTATATTCTTCCTATTTATTAACCCTTTCGGATTGCTAATATTGAATGAAACTGTGATCTTAGTGGCTGAGTTATTCATTTGGATCAGCTGTCATGATGGTCTCTTTCTAGTTGAATGGTGCAAAATCTGTTGAATTGTTTGGTTTTGGTAATCTTACCCTTAGAGTTGCAGCAGACACGTTGTTTCCTAGCTGTTGCAAATTCAGGTTTACTTCAACAGATCTGTATGGGACTGTTAGATTTCGTTGTTTTGGCATGAAATTCAAGACTTTCGGCACTTTAGTTTTCTTGAGTTATCTACTTTGTTCAAATTTAGAAGATTTGACCGGCCCTCGTCCTGTGCTTCTTATTGTTTTGTTCAGTCTTACTTCACGTCTTTTTAGCTTCTTCATGAATGCAACTTGATTTAGATTACATACAACGTTGGATACGTAAATCTGTTGGTTTCGATTTCACTAATGTACTATACTTCTAAGAACTGCCTTGTGTTTGTTGGCTGTGAAGTTTAAGTGGTTTCAATAGACGGCATTTTTCTTCTTTCTCAACATTTTCTACACTGCAAACTGTTCAGGAAACCACACGATCTAAGTTAATGCTTTCAGGTTGACGTCTAAAAACATCTGAATCATATCAATATTATTTTTCAGCTCAAATATGTAAATATTATTCGCACAACTACTATTTGACGTCCAACTCGAATTCAGAAAAATTTATTGATTCACAGGCTACTACTTTGCAAATTCTACCAACTTTATTAACCATAAATATTCTTGCACAGAGATGGTTATGTGGAAATTTTGTAAATCCAAAAATTAGTTTCTTGCTTTTAGATTACTCATGATTAAAATATTACTTACTAGAACATCATTTCTTTAATTTTAGCGTCAGATTCTTTGTTCTTTTTGCCACTGGGAAGCACAAGTGCTTCAAAGCAGATACACAATGGGACGATGAAAAAAGCGCCGTATACAAACTTCAGTGTTGAAGCGTCGGAAAATCAGACAGATGACTTAATTGCTTATTACAGAATATTATGTGACGATTATTTTTACGGTGAAAATTGTAGTATATTTTGTAAAGAACAAGAAGGCATTCATGGAAATTATAAATGCGATCAAACAGGTCGTCGTATTTGTGAAGACGGTTGGAGCGGTGATACATGCACTGATGGTAAGCATTTCTGCAATAAGAGAATTATACTACTGTTTAACAGTTTGACTTTTTCATTTCATAATTTAAGAAAGTTGAAACAGAATTCGAAGTATTCCTTTTTAAACTACTTTACGGGAAAAATAATTTTACTGGTTCCAGTTTTCGTTTTCAATTCCCGTTCAATAAAATATGTATATAAATGAAATGATTTATAGCTGTTTTTTGGTTATCTAATCTCCATATTTAAACAGCAGAAATGTAGAGTTTCATGTTCTATCTCTGTGCTTGTTTTAATTACTTTGTGATCCCATCGTCATTTTAAAAGAACACTCAGGCATAAATTTTAGTCACATAAGGAAAAGGATGAAGCTATATATAGACTGATGTTTTTAAGGAAAAAGTTTGTTTGAATGGAAAGAAGCAGCTTCCTCAATATCAACTGGTAAAATCAGATATCTTTCCATCGCTCAAGTTTAAAAAAACCGCTAGATGTTTCCACCACGTATTTGTTTATTTCTGAAGTTAGATTATCGGGAGGCATTCATAATATTGCATAATTATTATCATATATTATTGTCTCCTTTGGTTCCTAGGGGAAAATAAGGCTTCAACCACAGATCTCCATTGCGTTTGATCCTCCACCAACGTTTTCATCTGGCTCCACGTCTGCCAACATGCTTTCGTCTCTGTTTCTCATGAACTCCTCAGTGTCACCCTCACAGTGACGACCAACTAACTCTCCGCTTCCCTTTCGAGTTTCAATCTAGAGCCTGACGTGTGATGTTACTTGATGGTTTTGTTAGAGTATGGCCAATCCACCTCCATTTCTTCCTGCATATTTGCTGCACAATTGGTTCCCAGAGATCCTTGTTGTTGATCTTTTCTGGCCATCTGATCTTGATTAGTACTAAGTGGAGACGACTGCTGATGAAGATCTGTAGTTTGTTTGAACTAGCCTTCTTGATGCGCCAAGTATCTGATTCGTATAGTAGCAATGACCTCATTTTTTATTCCTTTACATTCCCAGCGGAACATAGGGCTTCAAGCTAGGGGCTTAAAGTTTCTGTGGCAGCGTTTATTTTTACAAGATGGGGTTTCTAGCCTCATGCCCAACCTTTCTTCTTTTCCAGCTTTATTTCTGGCTTAGCGAGGTAAAGGAGTGCGTCGGTCGGGGATCGAAACCTGAACAACATGCATGGTCGGCGAACATTCTACCGCTGTGCCACCAACGCACGCACTGACTTCATCCATCTTCATCAGCTGTCATGATGGTCTCTTTTCTAGTTGAATGGTGTCAGAAAATCTGTTGAATTGTTTGATTTTGGTAATCTTACCCTTAGAGTTGCAGCAGACACGTTGTTTCCTAGCTGTTTCAGGTGCAGCTTTACTTCAACAGATCTGTATCGGACTGTTAGATTTCGTTGCTGATCGCATAATTATAGCCTGTTTAAATTAAAAATACTTTCGAAAAATTGTTACATGCTTCGGTTGAGGTGAGGAGGTGTAGTTGATTGCATTACGATTGTTGCTTTCCCTATTAACAAACCACTAGTTTATGGTTTAATGGATAATGAAGTTATGGAAAAATTCAGTTGTCCCTGTGATGTTAGTCGGATTCTGTGCGATATGACCCATGAGATGAAAGCTCTAGTTTGTTGTCGATTAAACCTGAACTGTTTATGGAAGTGGATTTCATTTTATCCACTCACTCACTTAGTCATGTTTACATGTAAGTGTTGAGACAGGTGCTTAAATTAACAAGTAAACTTATACTGCATGTTCTCAAAGACTAATTTAAACATTTCTTTTCCGTATGTTTTCTAAAATGATGAGTATAGCTTTCGCGTTACTTGTTTTAAGTGATAAGCTGGTTGGAAATGCTAGAGAGCATTTGTTACATGTGTAGTTACTCCAGCTAAAAGTGCTTATTTGTTATGTCAAAATATACAGTCAGTTTATACTTTGATTTCCGCCATTTTTCTTTTCTCAAAGCTGTATGCAAACTTGGTTGTCAGCATGGAAGATGTATAAAACCTGATTACTGTCAGTAAGTTTTCATTATATTAAGAATTTTGGTGGCATTTCATTAATTGTGATTTTATGCTGTTTTTTATATCTTCGGGGGTTTTTCATCAGTATATTTTCATTCCTTCCTCTGAACCTTTTGGGTGACATTCCACTGTCTAACTGTGATTATTCCCTTACGTAGCTTTCTAACTTAAGTTAGACAGTGCGTTTAGTGTATCCTTTGGAAGGAGAGCCACCCTATCCATTAGGAATATTTGCGGATTTACCTGTTGATAAGATGATTTAAAGTGGTAGTTTTGGTTAAGGGGGGAAGGCACATTTTTATTACAAGTGAGGAATTTTGAAGCAATAAAAGAACATATACTGATTATCACTTACGGCCTATATTAATATCTTTAAATGATATACCACAGGAGATTATAACCAGTTTGGAGTTGGAATGTTTAGACTTTCAAAACGCCAACTATTTGACAGACTAAACTACTTTTTTCAAGTTATTTTTATATCTTGGTTCTTAGCAAGGTAAGACTGGCATCTTTTGATCACGTGCGGGGACGCTGTAGATTGTCGTGCCTCTGTTAAAATGTTAGATACCAAGAAAAGCTCATCGGCAAGGAACTTTGAAGACAGATTATGTGATTGCTGAAATTATGCCAGATGGTCTTCGGAGGTTACTTCATATGTATCCTATTCATAATGCGGTCTGTCACGAGTGGAAAGTTCTATTGGTAAAGTTGGTAACTGTGTTATTAGGCAGTCTATCCATGAATCTGATAAAGAATTGATTTTGTCGGGTGGGTATTCCTAGTAGGTTTCACTTTCTATCTAGTGGTTTTCTTGAGCGACCAGTACTAGCCCATACCTATTTTCCACAAAAGTATTTTTATCTGATTAAAACCTTGGGTGATAAACGCTATTCTTTTACGGGTGTGCCTATCTCCTAAAGTTTCGATCTATATCTCAGTATCATTTTTTAGTAGAATGAAATTGAAGGTCATGATTCAAAAATAAATTGTAGTTTACTTTTTTCCTGACCTTAGAATATATATTCTAAGGTATATATCCTTTTACATAAATCTTGCATTGTATAATAATCAAGGCAACTATCGACGACTGGTGATGAGTTGTAAGTCAGTGGGGGAATTATTGATCCAGCTGTTCATAGCTTTCTAGCCCAAAGTCTACCAATTAATCAGCGGTCAGCGGTTTCCTATTTTCATCTGAATAAACCCACTGATATATTTCACCACTAGACCAAAATTGAAATTTTTAGAATAGAGTCCTCAATACCAGATGAATTAGACTCTTCCTGCCTATATAAACTGGATACATTAATTTGTTTATGAACAAAAAATTGTGACCGAAACGCCATCCAGTTAATAATACTTTTTCACTGTTTGATGTATCTAATAAACAAAATCATATGGATGTATTAGTACATGCTTTGATTTGTAAGGCATCAAAATGCTGGACAGCAAGATTTCATTGCTAACATTCAGGATAACACCTCAAGAAGTTAATAATTTAAGATGATGGATACATTTTCTACCTTATGTCACCGCCGAATGACAATGAAGCTTCGCAATTGAACTAATCAGCTGAGCAAATGAAAGAGTAGCAAAAATTAATAGCCACACTAGCGAGATGATATCACGCGAAAACAAAGATAAGAAAGAATAATAATAATAACTAGATGTCAATCTTTTGACATTCATCAGGGATTTATTCAGTAAGAGTACCTCAGATGCACTATCCGTCCTCCTACAATGCAACAGCTTTCATTGTCTTTTATTTTCCACATACAGTCTTTTCATTGTTCTTTAAGGGTGTGTTTTGATAAATAATTAACTGTTCATTTTAATTATAATTTCAGTTGTGATGTTGGCTGGTATGGAAAGGACTGTAGACAGTGTCGTGTTTATCCCGGATGTCTTCATGGTGGCTGTGAGGTTAACAAGACTGACTCTATGCTTGTGCCTTTTACTTGTGAATGTGAAGATGGATGGGGTGGAATGTTATGTGACAAAGGTAAAATAATAGTTAACTAAGTACGAATTATTTTCACTTTTATTAAATTCTCATGGATTCTTTTAAACATTACTTTAGGCTGAATAGTAGAAAACTCCTGTTCCCTAGTAAATTCTAAAAAAGCAATCACTGTGAGAAAACATATATTTCATGAATTCACAAATTTTGGTGCTTACAATGAATATATTATCTGCAAAACATAAGTACATTTCATTACATTACTCATATACCTCTTCAAAAAAGAATTCCAACTTGTCAAAACCGTATCCGCAAAAAAGCACCTCAAAAGATCTCCTACTGATACAATATCTATTTAAAAATATAGGTGGTTGTTAAAACACAGACTATACCCCTTCAGAATACATATTTAATAACTTCCTGAGATAGTCCCTCGGCACAGAACGCTTAAAATGAAATTCGTGAAAAGTGAATTTCCATTAGACGTCAAAACCTTCTCACCATCTGTTCATCTTGCTGTTAGCGTGTATTTCGATGAATATCATTTACTTTTTAATTATATAAACAAATTATTAGTCATTTCTTATTGATTATAAATCTGTTGAAGTTGGTGTTAATTTTTCACCATGTTCATGGCTTATATATAAGTCAACCCTATAAGTGGAATGAATTATCATGTTAGTGGAGTATTCATCCGATTTCTCCTACAGAAACGTATAAATTCATTAAATACTGGTTTTGACACAACTGTCGCTTGTTTGTCGAATCTTTGAAACACAGAGTGTAGTTAAAAATTACAAATATCTCTTGAAAAATACTTCCATATACTGGGTGCAAATGTTATCGAAAGGAAAATCTTCAGAACTGTAAGAAAACTGATTTTTGTGCCCTTATTTACCCTATGGGTATTTCACGTTAATTATTCAGCAATAAATAATCTTGAAGAAAAGGCAACATAATGACTGCTGAACTATCACTTCAGACAAACCACGTTGAGGGGGAAAATACAGTTTGGGAAGATAGTATGATATTCAGGCATCCAGTAGATTTGAGAATAAATGCACACGAAGAGAAGGAACGACACTAAATAAATGCTGCGCAGATACATCTGTGCATGTATACTGGAACCTTAGTTAGAAGGATTTCGCAATCACAATCTCTCTCATATTAATTGAGACTTTAAGTAACTGAAAAACTGAAACTGAGGGTCATTTAATCAAACATTCTGAATTTCATTTCTTTAATTTTGAATGCACAAGTTGAAAGTATAAAGAAAATTTTTAATGATTATTTTACTGAAATTTTATTCCTATTGTTAATTCACTCCTGTTTGTCTATTGTTTTAGACTTGCGGTATTGTAGTAATAATTTGAATTTATGTGAAAACAATGGCATATGTGTAAATAATGAAGCCAGTAGTGGGTTGCCGTATTACTGTGTTTGTCCTCCTGGTTTTAATGGTGATCACTGTGAGATGATTGAATATGACTGTCGGATTCATGGTTGTAATGGACATGGAGAATGTCTTGTTAATAATATTGAATCGGTAAGTATATTGGATGCATGTGCAGTTAACTTCTAGTTGTATTGTTATGACAAAATTTTCAAAATTACTTGTCATACATTTAATTTCTGTTGTCCATATCACATTCAGAATTAATACTTCAACTAATATTAACACCGAATAGCTATCACAGCATATGAAATTGACTTGTGCTTCAATGGGGGGGGGCACTAGCTAACCACACACGTGGTCAAGGGAGCAGATGTCGGTAGACGCACTCCTCAACGTTGCTAAGCCGGCAGTAAGGTCGATAAAGAGGAAAGGTTGGACGTGGGGCTAGCAACCTCACCCCGTAAAAAATAAATACAAAAATCACTGCTACCGAGACTTCAGAGTCCAAGCTTGAAGCCCTGTGCTCCACTCGGAACATAAAGGATTAAAATAAAAATTAAGTGCCATTGGCTTAGGTAAACACGTGAATAGGTAAAACTATCAAATAATGAACTAAGTGTCGATATTGATCTTAGATCGTGCTTGTCGGCATCTATTACTAATACGCATCTATAACCTGAAAAAACTGGTGCCCCCTTAGAAATTCTAAAATGCATCACTCAGGGCTGCAGTGACAGTCATTACCATTGAGTTACTTAGACTCTCCTTTAGGACTGTAATGGATACATTTATTGGTCACTTGAGACTTACCAGAGTCATGTGTCCAGTCCTTAGTAGTGGTGCCGACTGCATTCAATCAATCATGTCTTCACTGTGGTAAAAAACAAATCAGCCCCTAAATACCACGAGCTTATGGATGGAAGACTTAAGGTTATGCACATTTTGCCGATTCAGTTAGATTTTTTTTCTAAATACAGGGCCATTTTTTTGAAATCGCTTTATATTTAGTTGAACATGCTGGGCAGTGTTCTTGATTTTTTCTAATGCCATAACAATGCCCTGAATAGTAATTATTTGATGCAGCACCTCAACTGGAATTCTACTATACATAAAAGTTTGCAATAAATGAACAGCGGGTTACAAAACTATCAATGACTTTGTGATTTTTAAAATATATTAATGACAAAACAATCCTTTACTACTTGATAGGCAAATTATATGCTAAACAATTAGAAGTTCTCAGTTTTATGTCAGATAAAATGTGCGTCAGCAATTTTGTTCGTTTTGTCTTGAGAGGTAGACGACATTACGGAGTAAGTAAATTGTGAATTCTTGCTGAAAATTATGTTAGCGATGGTTTTGATGGCCATGTTTATAAGAATAAATACTCAAATGACAACCTATTCATATATATATAATATTATTTAGAAATTGAATTCGCTAGTAAACTTTACGGAGGATATAAGTACCCATTTGTTCGTTTACTGTCAGTTGGTGAGGGGTTAGGTTGTCGCATTTACAAAGTATTCAACATATTGGGAATTTGCCGAACAATAGAAAAATTTAACTGTGTGCTAATAGGTCAAAAGTACTTGTGGTTGCAAAGGATTTCAGACTGTTTCTATGAAATTTTGTCATTAAAACTAACTATTTAACTCACTATGTATGGAAAATTTCTGCCAAATTTCTATCAAGAAGTGGAAAGACTCATCTGAGCAGTAATCATATAGAAGGATTGTAATCTAGGCGGGACACTCTTGTTACAAATCCTAATTTTATGTGAAACAACTTTTCCCTCATCTATTGTTTAGTTCAAAATACTGCTAAAAGGTGATGTTGGTAATTGGCTGAAATTGGACAACTTAATTAAAATCATTAAAATCAATATTAATTTTCGAAATAATATCCTGTTTCCTTACAGGCATCCTGTTACTGTCACCCCGGTTATTACGGTAGTCTTTGTCAATTTAATCAAACTACATGTGATGAATCTCCATGTCAGGCGACAGGATCAGTCTGCAGAAATCGGGAAATCACTGATTTGAGCTTAGCTTTAAAACATCAGCGTTTTAAATGCATCTGTCCACCAGGATTTTCAGGTTTTAACTGCGAAATCAACATCAATGAATGTGTTATGAAGCCTTGCAAGAACGGTATGTTTAATTTTGATATTATTTATACCTTTAAACGCAGTCATTTTCTGTTTCACTTTTATTTGCTGTGCATAACATCTGTAACTGTTTTTGAAAATGCCCATTAAAATTTTCTAAAGAATGGTTACTGAACAAAGAATATTCTTTTCGATAACTCCTTCTTCATCAGGTTCTACAGTTATATCTACATAACAATGAATGAATTAGTGTTATTAACAACAATAATGTTTAACTAATATCAAATCAATAATAGCATCAAAAATTCACAGTGCACCGTAATGGCCAGCCACCTAGAATAGTGGCCACATTGCAAACTTGACTAACAGAATTCAGTCTGCACCAAACAAAGGACTAGACATATTACATTAGTTACTGACTAGTGTCCAGTCAAAATAATATCGATGGATTACAGTTCAATAGCATCAAAACAACAATACACCACTATGTATATATAACTGTAAAACCTGACGATGATGAAGTTATCGAAAAGAATATTCCATAACACTTGTTTTTTAAACAGTTAATGTTGTATGTTAAACTGGTTGTTTTTCTGTCGCATGAGCAGTTAATTAGGAAATAAAACTTACCAACATTTTTCAAACCAGCTACTAAGGCTAACCGGTTATACATACATTTATTATAATGTACTACATTTAGCCTCAGTTTTAAATTATTTGTTAATTCGGACTGAGTGCAGTGGTTGGTTTTTAGTTTCGCCCCTATTAGTATCCATTCTCTGACAAAAACTTAAAATCACTGATGAATAATGACCGAAGGTGAAATGGAATCACAATTAACGCCAGGCTGTAATGTGAATGAAAGATAGATAACTCTGCGCTTATCTTCACACTAGCTGTCTACCATGGCCTCATCCTATCAACTCTTATCACATACATTCTAAGGAGATAAGTAGGTTGCCATAACAGCACTGGGTTACCAAACTCTTATTACCACCATTACCCACTACATCCACGGTAATTTCTTTAACTGAGAGTATCCAAAACAGTCATACAACACCTCATACACTGTACTGATTTGACCAACGCTCAGTTTCTAGTCATTTATGTTACGGCATCCAGTTTATTTGCTCAATTTTAGTCCTAATTTAAATGGCATTATTCTCTACCCTACCTTTACTTAGTCTCTACCTATAATTACTTCTGCTGCTATCTTGACCTAAGTTAAAACATTTTAGTCAATTATATTACTTCATCTAACTTACTAACTCAATCTTACTTTATTTGCTGTCTAATTAACCTTGTTTCTATATTAGATCATTCTTGTATTACCTGATTAATTATCTAAACTTGACAAACCTCATGTACACACACATACACAAATAATTGTATATAAATGCGATTGTACAGCTATGTGAATGAATTCGCCGAAAAGCGTCTCTTCGCTGAACGTCTTCTCTTAGTCATAAAATTGTTTAAAAGTGGAGTGTTTTGTATTACTGCATATTTGTGAGGTAGCATTTTGAACACACCAGAGACTAACATCATTATGATATTCCATTGACCGGTAAATAGTAGTACTGTAACTTCTTTTTCATCGTAAATTTGTGTTTTATACCTGTTGAAGGTGAAGCCTGTTATACTAGTGTTCATATTGATTACAGTTACTTGTTAAACGATGGCGGAAACCATTATGTTTTCACTAATACCAATGGATATTATAGTTGTATTTCAGTTTCAGGTGGGAGGAAGTCTTATTGATTTTTGGATCGGATTAACAATTTGCGATTTAATTCGTGGTCTGAAATATACTAGCTATCCAGAATTCAGTTGGTTTGAATTGATTTGTCCCTTTGGGCTGAATAGTGCTGAGTATGCCGATGATGAGTTTGGCCCGAAGAGAGTAAAACTGACACCTGCTGTTTAGATCACTTCGACTTGGTTAGTAGGAACTACTGATTGATGCGAGTGGTAAGCAGCTGCCCAAATGAATCAGTCAGCAGTATATAGCATCATGCAGCAATTGACATTTATAAGCCACTTCTATAGAAAAAGTGGCATCTCGAATACACTGCAAAAATATCTTCACACTTATGGAATGTACCAGATTGTAAATGAGATTGGTGACTTACTGAGGCGGTATAACTACAGTCAATAATAACAGACAAATTTTATTCAACACTTCATCTAGATTCCTGAAGAATACAGTGATTCTTAGTTTTTAGCTCTTGTGAACTAGTAATTAATTCCCATAATTTAAATTTATAGATATGATTGTAGATTTCTAGAACTCATCTGTTTCTGTGTATAACTGTAGTAGGGCTTGACTGTATTAAAATAATAATAACAGATTTCTGGATATAATGTAACGAATGACAGAACAGTGTAGTTTCTTTTTCACTCTAGATGAGAACTGCTTATATCGCATAATCTGTTTGCACATCGAATGATTTCGCAGTCGGACCCCTGACTGGGTAGTGGTTGTTTGTGTCTTCAAATGGAATTCAGTTTCTTCAATGGTGTTAGTTGGCCTTGAGAGTGACTACGGTTGATTAAGCAGAGCTTTTAAACTAATGTTTTCTTACCTTTCGAAGCCAAGATTAATCACATTTTTGTGTTGTTAACTCGATTGCTACAGCCTAAATCTCTTCGTCACACTTTTGTTGTCACTTCCGATAGGAAAGCTGCATTACTGTGTATCCAGTAAAATCTTTTTTGAATGAAGCAAGAACAACAGTTTTTGAGGAATAAAATGGTACCATCACTTATTTCGATGGCTTCTCCTCAGCTACCGACAGCCCAAAGATATTATTAAGTATATCTACAGAAACAATTTTAACATACTTGCACAGAGTTCATTTTTAAACAAAAACCAATCAATATATGCGTACAGTGTTAATAATAATAAACACTTTATTTCAAACAATAAGGATCATACACAATAGAAACTTTTGGCGTTACGTAATCCGGTGAAAGAGAGGATGAAAACACTCAGTTATCAGGACATGGAAATAATGATAACCTCTCCTTTCTGAACTCATAGAACGGGTTTCAAGCGCTTGGTGGCGATTGCTTCTGCGAACTTAAGGAGATTTGAACTCTTGCCTGTCGATAATTTCGAACGATCTTCCAAAGTCCACCTCATGACCCATGTCAAGGAGATGCCTAGCATTTTTTATTCCTTTGCATTCCGGGTGGAAAACAGGGCTTCAAACTTGAGCTTCCAAGTTCGGATAGCATTTGAGTTGTTTTTATGGGGTGGGGTAGTTGGCTTTAAGCAAAACCTTTCCTCTTTACCAGACTTACTACTGGCTAAGGTAGGTTTGGGAGACGAAGTCGAATTCAGACCACGAACATTCTACACTTGAAACATCGATGCACAGCCAGTGATCTACTTATGCAATTGATATGTTGGTTGAAAGGCCAAATGAACTTTAAGGAATACGGTAATTAAATTAGGCATCTTATCGATACTTAGAAGTTTGAATAATAAATGAAATACGCAGATTTTCAAGCAGAAATACATTTGTTTGTTCAAAAATTATTTATCGACAAAGTTTATTTTTAAATCTTATGTTGAAGAAAAGCATTAGCTCTCCCAGAAATTGTTCTGTTGTACAAAGAATACGCGTCGAAATGCTGAAGGAGGGTAAAAAAAGTAAAGTGATTGTCTCAAGATTTGCAACAGCCGATAGTATTGACAGTTATCATGGCCTCAGAAGAACATTGAAGGATAATGAAACTGTGACGCAGTTCTTCATTCACAGTTGAAAGTTTGGTGTGAAGGTTACCTTGTTGTAGATCATTTTACCATGAAAGACTCAAACAAGATGAACGAGTCTATGAATAGCATCAAATATCACAGCAAGTAAAAAAACACTCTGATTTGATGATTTGTATTTCGGATACTGAATTTGCACGCCCTGATTTCATTACTATTTCAGTACTAGAGGTATAGGTTTCGATTGCCTCCATAGCTTCGTAAGTGCAATTTCTTTTGTCTTTGTCTTAAAACACTGGGGCTAATATCACCCATCATTGGTGATAAATATTTTGTTATTATTATTTTATCAATTCATGAATAACCTTAGCTGTTAAGTGTTACTGAATAATAATCAGGTGGAAATATGATGAAAACACATATTCCCCGATACGAATTTAAAACAACCAACAAAGGTTAATAAAGCAGGATTTAATGAATTCATCAAATTTCCGTAGAACTCGTCAACTGAATACTCTACATACGTAATATGATGCTGTAATCTGTATGATCAATGTTTGCAAAGATTGAATCCGATAAAGTCACAGCTGAAAATGAAGTTTAGGAAGACAACGAAAGCTTATCAACTGAGGCCATCCAGACCAAAGAACACTCCAGTTTTACCCATAGTTTCTTAGTTTTACTTATTCTATCGAATACATGTACTAAAAATAAAATTTAAGTATAACTTCGTTCCATTTCGTTTTATTATTTCATTTTCAGGCGGACTTTGCAAGGATCTTATAAATGGGTATCAATGCACCTGTCCGTTTGGTTATGCAGGAGTTCAGTGTGATATCAAAGAACATGAATGTATTAACGAACAATGTCCTCAAGGCTATACATGTCTGACCAATAACACGAGATCAGTATGTGTTTCTTCCAGTTCTTCCAGCCCTGCAGTGCTAGATTCATTTGAAGATCGAGCAAACTCAGTAACCTCGAATGCGGAAGTTCAATTGACGTATTTAAAATTCTCACATTTTTCATTTGGTCTTTCATCTGTGATATATATCACATTTGGAATTTTCATAGTGATCACCCTAATGATCGTAATCAAGTGTTTTTTCAAATTAACTTTACTGGGACGAATTCCCAGGTATGATAGCGAAGCAGATGTTGAATTGAGTTGTGTTCATAATTCGGTTGAGAAATGGAATAATATTTTGTCGAATCATTCAAAATCGACATGGAAAAGTTGCTACATAAACAATAATTTATACACGGAACATTGTATTAATACACCACCATGCATAAGAAATGATTATCTGTAGAAAGATTATTCAATGTATGAATTTAGGAATTATGTTAACGAAGATGACAAGACGGGGGAAGAATAATCTCTGGTCAGGTCCAAGGTACCAAATATTTTGATCAGAGCTTTAAATTAAATTTGTAAATAAGTGATATTTTTTATCAGTTATGTGGACTTTTGAATTCCTCTAAACAAAAGTCTACTTAACATATAAGATATCGTAAAATATGTATCAGAGCATTCGTTTAATCACTGCATAAATAAAAATTAATCAATGTGGTTACGTTTTTGATAATATACAATTGAATTAGGAGAAATATTCAGTCAACTATCCAGCTATTAATACTATTTCCCTGTGAAGTATATTTCAATCATACTATCCACCTTTCACCAGGATTACAGATCCTCCAGCCCCTATTATTAAAAGATATTCAGCTAACTAAATTTTAAGCTGGAATTTACTGTCCAGACACCTTTGCTATAAGCGAACGGGAGATGAAAATGTTTGATAACAGGTGGTGTATATGCTTATCTTTAAGTAGAAGAATATGCACTGAAAATGTTTCAGATTACAATGCTTTTGATGTATTCTATTTTGTGTCTATTTGTCAACCATTTTATCACTACTGCTAGTCTTCCGTTCTGACTGAAGACTTTTATAAACCAATGAAACCCTAATAAGGTGTAGAGTAGATATCTTCATCTACTTTATCCACCATTTCTGTCACTTTAATGTGTTTTGTCGTTAAATTCACACAGAATACCACTAAACTCATTTATTTCATGCTTGGATTTCTTGATACACATCACGGTAGTTGTCCAGCTGTGTAGTGATTGTTGCATACAGTTAAGTTAGTGAATAGCACCATACTTAAGAACGCGAATTTGGAGCAAATTATTGAACTGTGGTAAATAACCAACTCCACTATTGTACTGTTTAAAATATTTATTGTTATTCCTCTTTATTCAGCATAAATATATACGAATAATAATTCTGTAGAATATCAGTCTCTGATTTCTATTTGTTGTACTATACCCAGGTACCTAATGTGCTATTACTATTTTCTTCGTGTTAAGCTAAACTACTTACTACTATATAGTAGGATAAAATATTTTGATTAATATAACATTACTTAAAATGATGCATTAAGGCGAGAGTTGAAGTAGATGGATTACAAAACTTTTAAAGATTATCAAATAAGTGAACTGGTATAAAAGATGTTAAAATTGTAGGTCAAGTGTTGTCTAAAAAATTAAGAGTATGAAGATGAAGTGGAGTGGAATGAATTCAAGTGGTTAAAATGTAATTAAGATGAAAGAACATAACTATGACAAGGTTAAAGACCAAGGGTTTAACAAAACGTTTTTGAACACATCATTTAGGTTTCTATCCATGTACAGCTGGAGCTTCTGCTATGCATCGGTGGAGAAAACGTAAGCTTTTGCAGTGGTTGTATTCTGTCCTGTAGATAATTTTGAAGGATATATCACGTGGGGCCAAATGACCTTGTAACAACAGAAGACAAGGGCCAGGCAACAGATCGTTTATTAAGGAAATCAACACTTATTTATAGATTTTCATGTACATGATTATAGATTATTGTTAGTAGACAAACACAGTCTTTTGATTGGTTGTTTCTCACTGAAAGTTAATCTTTCATCTCTTTGTGGCTGTTTCTTGAATGTCAGATCATCTCTCTGCTAATTGTATCCGCCTACGCAAAGTCTGCTGTGATTAGTTGTTGAGTCAGTCTTTGTTCTTGTTTTCACATGACCAATATATGGGACATAAACACTGACGTAAATTACTGTCTACCAATTTGGCTAGCAGCCAGCTCTCACCACAACCTGACTCCAAAAGGTGTTTACAAAGCGAAGACTTCGTCGTCCTATGCTCACCTTTCATTAACCAAACCGGGCAGTGTTTTCTTTAGATGGCCCCACGATTGCTCATAGGCTCTCATCTCCTCCTCACACTACCTCCTCCATGTTATCCTAGGACACTCAGCTCGTTGTTTCCCATTCCAGTCCCACTCGTGGGTCTGACGCGACTCACCTCCATTTCCTTTGGCATATTTGTAGAGCTAAAGGTTTTTGGTTGGTTCGCTCCCAGAGTTTCTTTTTGCTAATTGTTTCTCGCCATCTGATCATCAGCATGGAGGTCAGTGTCTGACGAAATTATCTGAAGTGAATGTAAGCGGACTGATTATTTAATTGAATTTTAGATTTCCCCGTCGATTGATTGGATCGAAGTGCTCGGTCTCAGCTTGACATGTCAGCTTCTTGTGAAGATGCTTCGACGATGTCTGAGCATGTAATTAGAGGTTCATTGGTGGATGGTGACTAGCAGTGGAATCCAGGATGCGCATTCCGTCCTACTTGGGACTCGTCAGCTGGATGTGCCTGCTAAATTTCAATTAAATAATTAATATGACCCATTGCATAAGAGGTGGCTCTCGTGGCCCAAGTGGTCTATTGGATAATGCACTCGGTTTGAACCTCAGTGGGAACATCATCACTCAATGGGGAATGCAGGTAAATGCAGATGAAGAGTCCCAAGTAGGACGAAATGCGTATCCTGGATTCCACTGCTAGTCACCATCCACCAGTTAAATTGTAAAGGGACTGAATTAGCTGAATTAAAAGAAGTTTACATATGTATTGATTTGACTTAATGTTAAATGGGATATCTCTTTCTTTATACATTAGATACGTTGTTTAATTGAGGTGAATAAAGCGTACGATCAATTCTTGGCTCATATTTTAGTTGTTTTATTATAAGTTGAAAAATAAATTTGTGCTGTTTCTGTTTTGACATGACACAGCCTGAAGTGTAAGTTGTTCCAACATATAATAAAGCTAATCGTTGGTTTGCCAAGGTGGAAAGTTTTTTATTTGCAAAATTCATGAAAGGATTATCAGTGTATTAGTTTGTTTTAAATATTCAAACACGCACGATGCAGACAAGCACCTATTTTCTGCTTTCATATTCAAGAGGTTTTAATAAAAATGTCTGGTCTTAGTCAGCCACAGACATGAAAAATTATATGCCATTTAAATACTATTGTTTTTCAACAGAGTAAACATTAAGTCATGACAGATAAGCAGTATTCTTGTTGTTAACATGCACAAAATTGATGTCACATCATGTTTAGAAAAGTGTCATCTTCTTGATGTTCACTACAAAAATCAATCAAAATAAAGTCAGTCTTCTAAAATACACTAGTACTGTGTGCTCAGAAAATATGTAAATAGTTTGTGTTCAGAGATGCTTTATAGACTGTCTTGGACGGATTTTTACCTATTTCAGATACATACGAAGAATAGAAAAGTGAACATGAATTACAGGCAGTTTATGATATATGAGAAAGTTGAAGCTGTTGGAAAAGTAATAGCGAAAATCGCTCAGAAGCAAGTATCAGAATATCAGCAAGCGAATGGCTTAGTATGCCAGCCTACTGACAGCAAACAAAGAATCTTGCATTGATTGTGAGTAGGTGAAAAATGAAGCCTTATTGAAGAATTTTGGAAAGATGAACATCATTGTACGATAAGTGCGAGTGCATTTAGAGGAAAGAGTAAGAGGAATAGTTCAAGAAAGAAGACCAAACAGTTCGTTTGTCTTTTTGCTGAAGAAACTGAATGGGAAGTACATTTTGAAGGACTGAATAACGTGACCAGGTTAAAACCATTTGCAGTGCCAAATGTGGTAAGAGCATTGAGTAGTTCACAGAAGGCTAAGTTGTTCACATTTTTTGACCTTGATCAATTATCAGCGAACCATAGAAGAAAGTGAACGAAACAAAACAGCCTGTACTCTTTCTCAGAAGCAGTATTACATTAAGCAGAGACGATTCGGATTTAAAGGCATGCAATTTAAGCTCAGCCGGTTTATAACTTTGTTACTGAGGGGTCTAAATTTCACGAAAGTCTATATACTTGACTCGGATGCGTTAATATAAACAGAAAGTAACCATGTTAAGCTTAATGAAAATGTTTTAATGAATTCAAACTACTCGTTGACAAGAATAGTTTAAAGATAGCGAAAAGTGGTGTTATAAGGTTAGACATTGAGAAGTACACATATTACCTGAGAAGGACTCATCAATCAAAACCAACACAACAGTATATTTAAGCGGTAAAAGGAAAGAATACATGGCAACATTTTTAAATCTGTCCTTTGAAAAAATCAACGGGATAAGCAAGCCATTCCATCAGTCAGTAGGTGATACAAGATTTATATTAGACTAAGGAGGCACAGCCATAATTGATCAGATAAGAGAACTCTAAAATGATCGACTGGCAACACCAAGATTGCCACTGCTTGAGACGCAATTCAGTGATTAGACGGACACTAGTGGTTTATGTGTATATGGTATCCTAAGACAAACGAACGGAATACTCTAGTATTCAAGCCGTGTTTGGACACTTGCATAAAAGAAGTGTTGAGGCATTAGTAGAAGTTGGAGGAAAATACGGAGTTAAAAACCCTGTTCTGGCACATATCTTGACCAAAACTAAATGAATCTGAATAATTAATTTGGAAAGAAAATGTCGGGAGTTGATTTAGAGTGATTCCGAAGAGATTTTGTCGGGTGTTGATTCAAGACTGACACCACCTCACACATAGAAGTATTAGGTGGTTGGAGACAATCAGCAAGGAGACAGAGACCTAGATTCCTCGTTTGGATGCATTCGTCAGAGATAGTTTGCCAAGCTAACTAGGTTCAGTGGCAAACTTCCTTGCTGCAGCTCCACGTTAGACGGGTTGGAACCTCATAGAGGACGTCAATTCCATAGGAGCTACAAATACGCTTTGCCGACGGGTGCTAACAAACACGAAACCTGCCGATTGCCTCCAACCAACCAAGGTCTTATCGGAGTGCATCTCTTTAGTAAGTCACTTAGTTACCACATTACAAACTGGACTGGTAGAACTGAGTCGGCCCCAACACCACGGGCTAGACGCATGCCACCGATTACTCCCCAGTGCCCAATAAATAAACGCGTACTGCAACAACATATGATCTCATTAGTCAAAGAGTATACTGGCAAAGCACGAGAGACAGTATTGGGAAGTATGTCCTCAGTGTCCACCAGGCCACTTAGTGAAGGGCGATTGGTACATTTGTTTGTCAGAAGATAAAATGGTTAGCTTCTCTAAAACCAGAAGTCGCAACTATTGCCGTCAGTGATGAAACAGCATTCCAGACATTCAGTTGATCCTGTAAAAATTCCAGACCACCTCCTCTA